GGAGAGGGAGCGGGAGATGTGAGGGTCGAGGGTGGGAGGGAAGTTACGGGGGGGGGGGGAACCATTGTAATCCATAAACTGTACTTTGGAAAATTATATGTACTAAATAAAAGTTTAAAAAAATTTTACTTATGACACATTTTTTCTCAGAAATAAAGTTTATGTTTAAGGTATTAGTAGCATTTCCATGGTAATAAAATGCATAAACATGATAGACCACATTGCAAGGAACCTTCTGTGACTGAGACCAGACTTGTGTGTGTGTTCTTTCTATTTTCTTCATAAATGAGTGTAGGTGCTATGGTCCTTTCCCTCTGTATTTTGGCTTCAGATATTTAAAAAGAGTTAGAACTGTCAGGAATCTCTACAGTAAGGAGGTAAAACAATTCACAAGTAATAAAAGAAAAACAAATTGTTCTGGATAAATAGTCTTTGTCTGCAAAGAACTAGCACAAAATCCCTGAACTTGACCTCCTCTTTATTAATACCAGTCAATGCGAACATGCACATATGATATTGTAAGAAAAATTTAGCTATTGTGGTTGAGCTTCCAGCTGCTTTAAACAAAAGGAATTGATTTTAGAGATTGTAATCCCAGATATTAGTGGAAGGGTCAGTACTACAAAGAATGGGCTATAGTCTAAATTTGCCTTAACATTTTGACCAGAGAAAGGATAAATCTCCAAGAGGGAAATTATGTTGTCTGGTAAATGTTTGAATAAAAAGTTGAAGTAGCTGGAATAGACTTTTCTTGTAGTCGGGAGAAAGTAGGGCAAGCACAATGCACGACTCTGAGTGGTTTGGGTGTGCTGACAGAATTGGTTGACAGAAGAAAAAGATTGACTTTATTTTTAAAAAAGATTTATTTATTTGAGAGGCAGTGTTACAGAGAGAGTGAGAGACAGAGAAAGAGAGATCTGTCTTCCATCTGCTGGTTCACTGCCAAATGCCACAATAGCCAGGACTGGAGTTGTGGTGGAATGAGAAGGCCATGCCAAGATGGCCACTGGCAAGCGAGCGTCAGTTACTCAGGAATGGCTTCAGAACCCACCTGACAAAGGAGCCTGCCCGGCAACAGGCAGTGATTGGTTAGGGCATAAACTGCCTCTTGACCAGATTGGCTGTCTTGGCTGTATAAGCTGCAGTACCAGCTGAGATAAATGAGTCTGTGAGCTGCTCACCTCTAGCCCGCTTTCACCTGACTCCCAGTGTCTGTGTCATGACTCCACGCCTCTTGCCCCCACCGCACTTCTCCTCTCAGAATGAAGCCACAACAACATGGGGTGATCCAAAGCCAGGAGCCAGGAGCTTCCTCTAGGTCTCCCATATGACCAAGCTCTTGGGCCATCTTCCATTGCTTTCCCAGACCATTAACAAGGAGGTGGAATGGAAGTTGGGCAGCCAGGACTTGAACCAGTGCCCATATGGGATACCAGTACTGCAGGCTATGGCTTTAACCAGCTAAGTTACAGTGCCAGCTACATGGATTATATGTGAGTAGTTTAGAGCAGCTTTGCAGAAGGCTTGTAAAATAAAGCTGGTAAGACAATGATGTACACAGTTACAGTATCACAGCAGACTCAGTGGTCTGATCCTACAGCATCACACCATGGTTGATTTTCCAAAAGTCATCACATGGGGCTGACGCTGTGGTGTAGCAAGTAAAGCCATTGCCTACAGTGCCGGCATCCCATATGGGTGCCAGTTCGAGTCCCAGCTACTCCACATCTGATCCAGCTCTATGCTATGGCCTGAGAAAGCAGTAGAAGATAGCCCAAGTCCTTGGACCCCTGCACCCATGTGGGAGACCCAGAGGAAGCTCCTGGCTCCTGGCTTCAGATCGGCACAGCTCCAGCCTTTGAGGCCCATTGGGGAGTTAATCAATGGATAGAAGATCTCTCTCTCTTTCTCTTTCTCTCTCTCTCTCTCTCTCTCTCTCTCTGCTTCTCCTTCCCTCTCTGTGTAACTCTGACTTTGAAATAAATAAATAAGTCTTTTTATAAAAATAAACTCATCACATTCCAAAGGGATTTTGAGATTTCTATCACTCTCGTCTATAAGAGAAAGCAAAGTAGTCATGGATGAGTACATGACAGGTGGATAACCACTGCATAATTAAATATTAAAACAAAAAGAATGGGCCAGCGCCGTGGCTCAATAGGCTAATCCTCCACCTGTGGCGCTGGCACACCGGGTTCTAGTCCCAGTCGGGGAGCCAGATTCTGTCCTGGTTGCCCCTCTTCCAGACCAGCTCTCTGCTGTGGCCTGGGAGTGCAGTGGAGGATGGCCCAAGTGCTTGGGCCCTGCACCCCATGGGAGACCAGGATAAGCACCTGGCTCCTGCCTTTGGATCAGCGCGGTGCGCCGGCTGCAGCATGCTGGCCGTGGTGGCCATTGGAGGGTGAACCAATGGCAAAGGAAGACCTTTCTCTCTGTCTCTCTCTCACTGTCCACTCTGCCTGTCAAAAAAAAAAAAAAAAAAAAAGGGTGAGGTCTTTAGAATTATGAAGCCAAGAGTTAAGAAAATTAAATGTATACCATCAATAAGGCTTAAAAGAAGCAATGTTGATACAAACAATTAGAGGTTTTACATACATTGAATAGTTGGGTAATTGTAGGGGGTTTGCCCAAGTTTTTAATTGTTAGTGAGGGATAAACTACCCTTTAAATTGAAATTAAATATTGATTTGGGTTAATAATAATTGCTAAGTTTCCTACTTAAACTTGACTTTATAAAATTTATGATCACCATCTCTATTTCAAATTTACTTTTAATGAAATGAGGGCAATAATTCATGTCACATGTGTTTAAGAGTCCTTCTTACCGTGTGATGACAGAAATTCTAGCACAGGTGCATGATTGTGTGATTCATGACAAAAATATTAAAATTCAGATATCCTGCTTATAATATGCCAAGTCTGCATATTATTTACTTGCACATTTATTGTTTCTACTTCCTTCCTGCCAACACAAAAAGCTAGTGTCTGCATCTGTAAGATCAGGGACTTTAACCTTCCCGTTAACTGCTAAATCACCGGTGCCTAGAGTACTACCTGGAGTATAAAAGATACTCCATAAATATTTTTGAATAAATTAATGTCAGCAGTTGGAGCACATATAAATCAGATTGTACTGTTGTTGGCAGTGATTGAAATGTAGGAGATAAAGAACAGCAAAAATGTGCATGTCTGAGTGAGTGTGTGTGTTTGTGTGTTTGGGGGGCACCAAAACAAACTAAAGAAGGAATAAAAGGAGACAAGTATCAATCAGACCCCATTTCTCTACCAGACTGCAATTCCTTAATGACTGAGGATTGCTAACACGTCCAAGAATGCTAGTTCTCTGATTCCTGATTTTGTTGAATATCACACTGAAGAAACAGGCCAAAAAAAAAAAAAATGGATTGTTCATCTTCTCAAACTTATTTCTGCCAACTCTATTCTTGGTCCTGACATAATTCATTGTTGACACTTCATGAGCTTTATGTATCTCTTCTTTTGCCAGGCTCTTCTATCCCATCTCTGGTTTTCACTTCCAATAAAGGAGAAAAACAGGGAAGAGGCTTCACCAAGGAGCCCCCTGTCAGAGCTGTACATTTGGATACCATCGCTGATGTCTGAAAGGAAATGCTAAAGGAAAATGATAGCACAATTCGCTGAATCTCAAATTCGAATGAATGCTTTAGGATACAAAAACTTTTGATCTGTAAAACAAAACTTCAAACTCTGATTGATAAAGACCTTAAGAATAATGTCAGAGGGGCTACTGCTGTGGCATAGTGGGCGAAGCCCCTGCCTGCAGTGCCGGCATCCCATATGGGCACTGGCTGGAGTCTGGGCTGCTCCACTTCCAATCCTATCTCCCTGCTAATGCAGCTCGGTGTGCAGCAGAAGATGACCCAACTACTTAGGTGCCTGGCCTAGCCCCAGCTGTAGTGGCCATTTGGAAAGCAAACTAATGGATAGAAGATCTCTTTGTTTCTCCTTCTCTCTCTTTGTAACTCTGCCTTTCAAGTAAATAAAGAAATCTTTAAAGAAAAAAAAAAGAACGTCAGAATTGTTTCCACAATTCAAATAATAGCTACAGCCACCATGGCAACTGTCTTTTGAAGTTTCCTTTGCCTTGGGTCAAAAACATACATTTTCCTTTATCCACCCCTACCTTAATCAGGACATTGTAATAAGGATAAATAACACAATAGGTTAAAAGCATCCTTTCCCCCATATTTCACAGTCCCCCAAATATGGGTTAAATATAAGTCATGAATTAAACTTCATGTAATCATTCTGTATTATCTGAGTTGTAAAGCACAGAGAATTTTGATTCAAACAACCAAAAGAATGCAACTGAATAAAATTCAAAGTAATATGTGCTTTTTCAAGCACACCTACTCTAAACCAGCCAAATGTAAGTCTCTATAATGTAAAAACAAATGCAAAAATCTAGGGAATGTGTTGCCTTAGAATTAAATGAAGCCCTCTGCCTTCAGCAGCAGGAGTCCAGAGGACACCCTAAGATCAGAGACACCACCAGGGTCCCCAGATGCTCCCTTGGGAGGTGAGAGGAGGAGACCCTCCTTCTGCCACCAACATTCTCAGGTTCTGCATCAGCCTGCAGTCACTAAGGTTTATCTCTTGCTGTTTATTATAGTTCATGCTAGGGATCACAACAAACTTAGGGACTCTGGGTCCCTGTTCAACTTATCTATTCTAATCTTCCTAGGACTACACACATCTTTTTTGCTTTCCGCATCTCACATTCTTCCTCACGCTTCTGAAACACAGAATTCAAGGCCACCCAATAGAATAACCTGTACTCTGAAATTCATCTCTGAATACCCCTTTCATGTTTGTGCTCTCAAAGAATGCTGACTGTCTCCTGAAAGCACTGCTTCCCCAATGCCCTCACTGAATTAGTAAACTCTTAGCTCCACTGTGGTTGATTATCCGACTCCTGTCCTTCCTTGTTTCAGCCGAGCACCAAGCGTAGGGTCACTCACCCTCACTGTTTCAGTTCTGGCTCTCCGATTTCACTCCATGGGAATTTCAATTGTCCAAGTAGATGAGTCTTCCTACGTTCCAGCTCCACAGTTTCTTGAACTGCTCTTCTCTGTGGTTTTGATTTTTTTTTCAACTTCTCCTTTTGAGCACTAGATTAAATCATATCTATTCTGAATAAGGACATGGCTTCAAGAAATGTCCTCTCTTCCTTGCCTGAACAATAAGTCACTTCTTACTAGATAATTGTCATTAGCACACAAACATTGGGCTTTCGAAATATTCATTCTTGACTCTAACTTTATTTTTGCTACCCCATTTCTCTGCATTAATTCATAGCAAAACTTGCATTGAATGGTTTATATATAAAATTTTTACTTTTCTACATTTTTTCTCTTATTTAAGCCAAACAGGCTTTCATTGCCTTGCTGAAAATGCTCTTGTTCTCCACATTATTAAAATCCATGATCAAAATTTGGTTCTGATCTTATTGCACATATTAGAAAATTTGACCCAGTTTATGCTTCCCTAATCACCAAACACTTGCTTATCAACTTCCTAGAATACATTGTTCTTTTCCTCTTATGTTGCAGGCTCCTCCTCATAGCCTGGCCTTTTGTGTGACCTCATTACAAAACTTTTTCTTCTCTCTCAATACTCCCTCCCTTGGAGATAAAAATGTGTCCTGCACACTCTGATTACTAATTAATGTCTTAAGTCTATCCTTGCCTGCTAAACTTCTGAACTCCAACTCCATACCCATGTATCTAACAGCGTACTCTATATCAGTAGTAGGATATTAAGGAAATTAAATTAAGCATGTATAGGAAAGAAAATGAGCCCCTGGCCTTATTCAGTAGCTTTTAAAAGTTCCACTATTAGAGTTGGCACTGTGGCATAGAAAGTTAATCCTCTGCCTGCAATGCCAGCATCCCTTATGGATGCCAGTTTGAGTCTTGGCTGCTCTGCTTTCTATCCAGCTCCCTGCTGATGTGCCTGGGAAAGGAGTGGATGATGGCTCAGGTTCTTGGGCCCCTGTCAGCCACATGGGAGACCTAGAAGAAGCTCCTGGCTCCTGGCTTTAGCCTGGCCCAGAACTGGCTGTTGTGGCCATTTTGGGAGTGAACCAGCAGATGGAAGATTCTCTCTTGCTCTTGCTCTCCTTTTTTTCTCTGTATCTCTGCCTTTTAAATAAATAAGTAAATCTTTAAATAATAAAAAATAGAAGTCCCACCTTTTCCTTATAGAGACTCATCTATTTGCTTTTTTTTTTAGGTAGATTTATTTTTATAAAAGCCTGTTTATTTTGAACAGATGTTTTAACTTGGAATTGAAAAAGTACATTTATGAGATATTTTATAAGATGTGTAAATATAGAACTGTATTTATTACTACAGTAAAGATTCAGTACCATTAAGGACAATGCTAAACCATGTACAGTGGCATATTCTTCCACATACATTGTGTTTCTCTGCCTGTTTTCTTTAAATTCATTAACTGTATATATGTAAATATATAGTACATGTAAATAGATTTCAAATTAGTTTTTCTATTGGATATAAATAAATTTGTAATAAAATGTGTGACTATAAAACAAAATATCTTCAAGTCTCTTTATTGAAACCACAGACAGGTATATAGTCTTCTAATTATTTTTGAATGTTTTTGTATAAGTACATTTGCTATGTAAGTCATTGTTTAATACTTTAGAAAAATTAAACTTAAGAAATAAGTCTTTCATAAGAACAAAAATAAATCATGACCAACTCCTAGATTGTTTTAACTTTGATAAATCAAGTTGTCATGACATTATTATGGTTTGAATTTTTGTACTCAGGGCCTACACTGTTCCCAAACTTTTTTTTTCATTTTTTTATTTAGTAAATATAATTTCCAAAGTACACTTTACGGATTACAATGGCTTTACCCCCCCCATAATTTCCCTCCCACTCGCACCCCTCCCATCTCCCGTTCCCTCTCCCATTCCATTCACATCAAAATTCATTTTCAATTATCTTTATATACAGAAGATCAGTTTAGTATATATTAAGTAAAGATTTCATCAGTTTGCACCCACACAGAAACACAAAGTGTAAAATACTGTTTCAGTGCTAGTTATAGCATTAATTCACATTGGACAACACATTAAGGACAGATCCCACATGAGGGGTAAGTACACAATGACTCCTGTTATTGACTTAAAATTCACCCTAAGCTAACTGTTACATTTTAACACCTTGCCAACACCTTCCTAGACCCAATGCATCATCAGCTCTTGCCTACAATATTGCAATGTCTTTCTAACTAGCCTCTCTCCTTCCATATCCCTTCAAGTTTAATTTTACACAAAGGCAAAAAAATGATTATTGGAAAATTTATTCAGCAATCACTCCTCTCATCCTTCTAACATGCTTTGTCACATTTTGTCACAGGGGGTAGTAGGACAGGTATAGCAGTAAACTCTCTCTTCACTTTAACTCTCAAATATTCTACACTTTATTTTTTACCACTTTGTCCATCTATCATTCTGCTATATCCTTTGGCTTCCTTCTTTTTATTTTTAGTTTTATTTGCTTATTTGGAAAGCAGAGAGACAGAGACTGACCGTGGTCTACCATTCACTGGTTCACTCCTCAAATGCCTACAATAGCCAGGGCTTGGTCAGGATGCAACCAGGAGCTGTAAGCACAATCCAAGTCATATTGGTTGGTGACAAGGGCCCAGATAGTTATTCCATAACTTCTATCTCCAGGGTGCACATTAGCAGGAAAGTGGAATCAGGAGCAGAGCCGGAACTTCAATGTACCACCATATGGGATGAGTGAATTCCAAATGGAATATCAACCATTACATCAAGTGCCCACCCTCACTGGATGCCATCTGTCCCTCAAACAGGCCTTTGAGATGTGGACTGAGCTTCCAGCTCCTGTGCATCCGGACCAAGCACTCCTCTTAGCTGCTGCATTGGCTGCTCCAGTTCTGGAATTCTCTCTACACATAGGTCTTCTTTAAGATGATGCCCTTCAATGTGGCCTTCCCAAGCCACTCTATTTAAAATCGGTGCCATATTCACATCCCTTCTCTTATTTCTCTGCCTCTTTTTTGTCCTATGCTCACTTACCAACTCCTGATAAGTTAGTTACAATTTTTTTGTTTATCTCCTTCTCTAGAAAGAAAGCAGGAATTTATTTTTTCTTGTGCTTCAGACACAGTGTCAAAAATAGTGCTTAGCACATCATAAGTAATATTTATTGAATTCATGCATGAATAAGTTAAGTGGATAACTTGATGGAAAAATAAGATACTATTTGGCAGTTTCAACTCAGAACCAAGATATAAATGATGAGGGATGTGAAAGTATATCATGAGAAAGCCTATAAAGAAAAGTATCAAGGAAGAGTCCCAGAAGTGGTAAGGAAATTAATTAATAGCAAACAGTTAAAATTGGCAGAGATGTCAGGATTCATGAGAGGAAATATTGGAGGGAATTGTGCTGAAAAGATCATCTCCTCTATCCAACAGGAAACTGAGAACTTGAGGGTAGCACTTTCCCTCTCTAAAGGCAAAGGAACATCACTGCAACAGGATTACTCATAGGAGTTGCTATGCATCCACTAAGTTTGAGACTAGATTACAGTGAATTGCCCACAAAACTGATGGATGCAAAGGCAGGAGATTGTACCTATGTTTTCTGAGGAATGGTTCTTTAAGAGCATTTGTATGGATAGGAAGGAAGGAAGGAAGGAAGGAAGGAAGGAAGGAAGGAAGGAAGGGGGAGGGGAGGGGAGGGGAGGAATAAAGGAAGCAAGGAAAGAAGGGGGAGAGAGAGAGAGAGAGAGAGAGAGAGAGAAAGAGAGAAAACCAAGGCATCCAGCTGGGAAATAAAATGTGTGCCATGTCTGAGGACAATAAGTTTAATGATTCTCATGGAGCCCTGTAAAACCGATGGAAGCATCCACAGAAGTGTACACGCTGAATATCTGACAGACTCAGAGAGGCACATTCCAGCTGTAACCCAAGTCTAGACAAGACTTCTAAACCTATTTCCTGCCCCACCTTTCTCTGACTCTAACCCTAACGAGTTCCTAAACCACACTGAATGAGTTGAAGAAGGAGAAAACACACGGTGGAGAAAGAGAACAGGATACAGACATGTTCAAGGCGATGACATAAACTACCTCAGGACCCAAATAGAGAAGGAAGAACATGAGGCCGACACTGTGGTGCAATGGACTAAGCTTCTGTCTGTGGTGCCAGCATCCCATATGGACCAATCCAGCTGTCTGCTTATGGCCTGGGAAAGCAGCAGAAGATGGCCCAAGTGCTTGGGCCCCTGCTCCCACGTGGGAGACCCCAAAGAAGGTCCTGACTACAGATTGGCCCAGCTCTGGCCATTGTGGCCATTTGGGGAGTGAACCAGCAGGTATAAGACCTTCCTCTCTGTCTCTCTCTGTTTGCAACTCTACCTCTCAAATAAGTAAATAAAAATGTTTTTAAAAATTTGCAGAAATGAAAATAGAAAAAGACAAATTCATACTAGTAGTGGGAGATTTTACTAACGCTCTGTCAGTAATTGATAAATCAAGCTGAGAGTCAGTGAGAGTACAAAAATACTTGAACAACGTGACTACAAACATTTTTAATAAACTGGTAATCATTTGGAGAAACTGACAAAAATGATTATAAAATTCATGTGATCATGCATGAGATTATGAAAAGCAAACACAGGGGCTAATATTGTGGTGCAGTGAATTAAGTTGCCTTTTACTTTTTTTTTTTTTTTTTTTTGACAGGCAGAGTAGACAGTGAGAGAGAGAGAGACAGAGAGAAAGGTCTTCCTTTTGCCATTAGTTCACCCTCCAATGGCCGCCGCAGCCAGCGCTGATCCGATGGCAGGAGCCAGGTGCTTATCCTGGTCTCCCATGGGGTGCAGGGCCCAAGCACTTGGGCCATCCTCCACTGCACTCCCTGGCCACAGCAGAGAGCTGGCCTGGAAGAGGGGCAACCGGGACAGAATCCGGCGCCCCGATGTGCTGGCGCCGCAAGGCGGAGGATTAGCCTAGTGAGCCACGGCACCGGCTTAAGCTGCCTTTTACAACACCAGCATCCTATATGAGCAGCGACTGAAGCCCCAGCTGCTCTGCTTCCAATCCAGCTCCCTGCTAATGCACCTGGGAAGGCAGTACAGCAGACGGGCCAAGTGCTTGGGCCCCTGCTACCCTGTTACCCTGTAACAAGAGATCTGGATGGAGTTCCGGGTTCCTGGTTTTGGGTCACACATAGCCCTAACCATTGCACCCATTAAAGGGATGAGTCAGAAGATGCAGTTCTCTGTCTCTCTGCCACTCCACCTTTCAAACAAATAAACGAATCTTTTAAAAGAGAGAGAGAAAAGCAAAGGTAATCATTAAGAATAAAATTGGGGTATTTTTAAAGCTTGTATCAAGCATTTTATAAAATATAATATTTCAGACTATTTTAGAATAGTGCATAGATGAACAAATAGAGCATCGGAACATCATCAAGGGTCCAGAAAAGAAAATAGATCTGGTCATCTGATTGATGATAAAGTGGTGATGTACAGCCTTGAGGAAAAGACAGAATTGTCAGTAAACAATTACTGGGTTAATGACATACACATGGAAAAATAAATCTTTTTTTTTTTTTTTTTGACAGGCAGAGTTAGACAGTGAGAGAGAGAGACAGAGAGAAAGGTCTTCCTTCCATTGGTTCACTCCCCAAGTGGCCTCTATGTCCGGAGATACCCTGATCCAAAGCCAGGAGCCAGGTGCTTCTCCTGGTCTCCCATGCAGGTGCAGGGTCCAAGCACTTGGGCCATCCTCCACCACACTCCCGGGCCACAGCAGAGAGCTGGACTGGAAGAGGAACAACCGGGACAAAATCCGGTGCCCCAACTGGGACTAGAACCCAGGGTGCCGGCGCCGCAGGCAGAGGATTAGCCTAGTGAGCCACAGTGCTGGCCAGAGAAATGAATCTTAATTGTTACCTGACTCCTTATGCAAAATCAATTCCTGGTTAGTTGAACTCTAAATGCGAATAGTAAACAATATTAACAACATAGAAAACTATTAATACATTTAGGACACATTAAAATAAAGAAATTGTGTTTCACCAAAAGCATCACTAAGAGAAAAAAAGACATCTCAATCAGTGGTAGAAGACATTCACAACATATATCTGACAAGATGTTCAAAGTCATTATATAAGGGTACTTCAAAGTGTTTGTGGAAAGTAGAAATAAAAGATAATTCTATTCTTGTGCAAAAAACTTTGGAATTCATGCATGGATTTTTCTTAGCATTCAATTTCTATGGACTTTCTA